CAACTCTAATATAATCCCTGATCTGTGATTCTCTACTAAAGTTTTAGAAGTTCCATGTGACTCTGCTACCAAAGTATAATTTTCAAAAAGTTATAAAATACAACTGTCAGGCTGGGCACAGTGCCTCATGCCTGTAATCCCAGCACTTTGGGAGGCTGAGGCTGGTGGATCATGTGAGGTCAGGAGTTCAAGACCAGCCTGACCAACATGGCAAAACCCTGTCTCTACTATAAATACAAAATTAGCTGGGCATGGTGGTGCATGCCTGTAATCCCAGCTACTTGGGAGGCTGAGGCAGAAGAATCGCTTGAACCCGCGAGACGGAGGTTGCAGTGAGCAGAGATCGTGCCACTGCACTCCAGCCTGGGCAACAAGAGTGAAACTCTGTTTCAAAAAAAAACAAAGAAAAACACAACTGTGTCTACTAAAAATACAAAAATTAGCTGGGTGTGGTGGTGCATGCCTGTAAGCCTAGCTACTCGGGAGGCTGAGGTAAGAGAATTGCTTGAACCTGGGAGGTGGAGGTTGCAGTGAGCCAAGATCTCGCCACTGCACTCCAGCCCGGGCAACAAGAGCGAAACTCCGTTTCAAAAAAAAAAAAGAAAGAAAGAAAAACACAACTGTCATACAAATATCAAATGATGTGTCAAAAGTTTTTTTAACTCATTAATGAGGGAACCAGCAGGATGGCAAAATGAGTTCAAAAAGCATTTGAGGAACTATATATAGGAAATGAAGAAAGAATGTTAGAATAAGATTGCTACATTAGATAAAAAACTGGTTTATGTCCTACAGGATAGTAAACCCACTAACCTTTGCAATTATTTTTTCTACTGTACAGAAATCATTTGCATGTTTACTGGACAAATATCTATAACTCAGCCAAGTGCAGTGGCTCATGCCTGTAATTCCAGCACATTGGGAAGCTGAGGTGGGAGGATCACTTGAGCCCAGGAGTTCAGGACCAGCCTAGGCAACATAGTGAGACCTCTGTCTCTACAAAAAATTTAAAAATTAGCCAGATGTGGTGGCCTGTACCTGTAGTCCCAGCTACTCAGGAAGCTGAGCTTGGGAGGTTGAGGCTACGGTGGGCTATGATCATGCCACTGTACTCCAGCCTGGGCGACAGAGTGAAGCCCTGTCTGAAAAAAATAAATAGATCAGGCATAGTGGCCCACACCTGTAATCCCAGCACTTTGGGAGGCTGAGGTAGGAGGATTGATTGAATGCAGGCATTTGAGACTAGCATGGGCAACATGATGAAACCTCATCTCTCAAAAAAAAATACAAAAAATTAGCCAAGTATAGTGGCATGTGCCTATAATCCTAGCTATTCTGGAGGCTGAGGTAGGAGGATCACTGCTAAACTTGATCTCGCAGGCTGCAGTTAGCTGCTATTGAGCCACTGCACTCCAGCCTTGGTGATAGAACAAGATCCTGTCTCAGAAAAAGTGGGGAGACAAGCATCGGTGGATTTTGGTATCCATGCAGGGGGACGGAGGAGATCCTGGAACAAACCCCCCACAAATACTGAGGGATGAATATATGGTGAAGTTGAATCAATATTCTGCTCTGGGCTGAGTGCGGTGGCTCACACCTGTAATGCCAGCAGTTTGGGAGGCTGAAGTAGGCAGATCACTTGAGGCCAAGAATTCAAGACCAGCCTGTCCAACATGGTGAAACGCCTTCTCTACTACAAAAATTAGCTGGGCATGGTGGCATGCATCTGCAGTCCCAGCTACTTAGGAGGCTGAGGCAGGAGAATCACTTGAACCCAAGGGGCAGAGGTTGCAGTGAGCCAGATCACACCACTGCACTCCAGCCTGGGTGACAGAGTGAGACCCTGTCTCAAAAAAAAGAATAAAATAAAACCCCCAAAATCTATCAGTTTGAATATATCTTTACCAAGTCTGGGCCTTAATCAGTAGTAAATAGTCAAACAAAGAAACATCCCACTGGATAACGAAATATTCCTTGAATGAGTCTTTTGGACAGTGTTTCAGAATGACATTGAAAGGATACGCAAAGCCAGGTGCGGTGGCTCACACCTGTAATCCCAGCACTTTAGGAGGCCCAGGCAGGTGGATCACCTGAGTTCAGGGGTTTGAGACCAGCCTGGCCAACATGGTGAAACCTCGTCTCTATTAAAAATGTAAAAATTAGCTGGGTGTGATGGCAAGCGCCTGTAATCCCTGCTACTCGGGAGACTAAAGCAGAAGAATCGCTTGAACCTGGAAGACAGAGGTTGCAGTGAGCTAAGATCGTGCCATTACACTCCAGCCTGGGTGACAGAGCAAAACCCCATCTCAAAAAAAAAAAAAAAGAAGAAGAAGAAAGGATATGTGGCACTTTTGCCTGATCACCAAAATTTATATGATTTTTTTTTTTTATGAGATGATTTTCTTAGAGCTAGGCATGGTGGCTCTCAGCCGTAATCCCAGCACTTTTGGAGGCCAAGGCAGAAGGATTGCTTAAAGACAGGAGTTCAAGACCGGCCTGGGCAGCATAGTAAGATCCTGTCTCTACAAATAATTTTAAAAATTAGCCAGACGTTGTGGTTCACACCTGTGGTCCCAGCTATTCAGGAGGCCGAAGCAGGAGAATTGCTTGAGTCTAGGAGTTTGAGGCTTCAGTGAGCCATGTTCACACTACTGCACTCCAGCCTGGGCAACAGAGCCAGACCCTGACACACACACACACACACACACACACACACGCACACAGTGATTTAATACTACAGTTCCCACTCCCCTTCCTAACACCCTCAAATCTTGACAATGAGAAATAGAAGTCTCAGAATATGGTAAGACAGAGAGAGAGATTAAAGTTGAGGTTCCTTGGATATAATAATAATCATAGTAATTAAGATTTTTAAGTGCTTACCATGTGGTAGACATTAATGATTTATATTTATTAATTCATTTCACATTCCTAACAATCCTATCTCCATTTTATGGATGATGAGGCTGAGATGCCAAAAGGTTAAATGACTTGTTCAAGATCACAGCTAAAAAGTGGCTTTGAACCAAAGCAATTTGGCTCATGTTGACCTTCAATTAAAGGGGTCAGTGGAGGGGTGATGGGAATAGGATATCAGAGAAGAAAAATGTCTATAGTTTTTTCATAGGATCAGTGGTGTTTTCCCTAAGAAGATAAGTAACGTCAAAGATTGTTTTTAGTCCTCAGGGAATTCCAGCCGGAGCTCTGCCTCTACACACTCTGTTGTGTGGACATTGCCCAGCTTCTTTCCCCAGAAGACAGTCACCTCTTTCCAACTAGTGTGTGAGTCTTGGGAAAGAAGAGAGAAATGTGTTGGTATTATAAGGACTGCAGGGCCGGGCGCGGTGGCTCAAGCCTGTAATCCCAGCACTTTGGGAGGCCGAGGCGGGTGGATCACGAGGTCAAGAGATCGAGACCATCCTGGTC